GTCTGACCTCAAAGTGATCTGCCGCCTGGCTTCCAAAGTGCGTGGGATTAAGGCATGAGCCCTAGCATAGCCATGATGATGTGAATCATTGAACATTGGTGATTACTTCAATCTCAGCCCCTGTCCCTCTCCCCTCCCAGGGAAGGTCAGTGGATGGGGATAAAGTTCCAACTCTCTAATCATGCCTATTCTCCTTTTTTTTTTTTTTTTTTTTAATAATTTTATTTTTCTGGCATGGCAAATAAGAGGCTATCATCAGGTCTTCTGGTGAACCCTCATCCGAAGCGTACCCTAGAAGCCTCCAGCCACTAGTCATTTCATTAGTATACAAAAGGACACTCTGCCACGGTGGAGATTTCAGGGAGGTGGTAAGCCATTTGCAAGGAACCAGGATACAAAACCCAAATATGATGTTTCTCATACCCACCAATGATGGACGTGGTCTGTAATTTTTTCTTCTTTTAAATCCTAGTCCAGTTTTCTAGGCAGGTTATGGCCAAAAGGTGCAGTTGGAAGTATGACTCTGTTTTCAATTCAAGACCAGCCTGGCCAACATGGTGAAACCCCATCTCTACTAAAGATGCAAAAATTAGCTGGGCATGGCGGTGTCCACCTGTAGTCTCAACAACTCGGGAGGCTGAGGCAGGAGAATCGCTTGAATCCAGGAGGTGGAGGTTGCAGTGAGCCGAGATGGTGCCACTGCACTCCAGCCTGGGTAACAGAGTAAGACTCCATCTCAAAAGAAAAAAATCATGCCTATGTAATGAAACTTCCATTAAAACCTCTAAATGATGGGGTTCAGAGAGCTTCCAGGCTGGTGAACACACCAAAGTGCTGGGAGAGTGGCGTGCCCGAAGAGGGCAGGAAAGCTCTGGGCTCATTCTCCCTTGCCTTGCTCCATGCATCGCTTCCATTTGGCTCTTCCTGAATTGTATCCTTTGTAATAAACCAGTAACATTAATTAAGCACTTTCTTGCGTTCCACTAATCATTCTAGCAAATTGTCAAGCCTGCAGGAGGTGGTCATAAGAACCCCCAAATTATAACCAGTTGCCCAGAAGTATGGGTGGCCCGGGACTTGCAACTGGGGTCTGATTAGGACAATCTTGTGCGACTGAGGCCTTAAATCTGTGGAGGCTAATGCTAACTCTGGGTAGTTAGTGTCAGAATTGAATTGAATTGTAGGACACTCAGTTTGTGATGGAGAATTGGTTGGTGTCAGGAGAGGAAAAAAATTCTCACTTGTGAATATAGATGCAAAATCCTAAATAAAATATTAGCATTTTTGCTAAGGAATTAGAAAAAATCAAGCATCCATCTAGGATTTATTCCAGGAATACAAAAGTGATTTAATATTCTAAAATCAATCAAGGGAATTCATCACATTAGTAGGGAAAAAAAAGATCATAAAATCATATTGATATATACATAAAAATGATGAGTTGATAGATACATAAAAATGGTGACTTCAGAAAATGTGGTTTCAAGAAGTAACATCAGATTCATTTTTCTTTCCTTCTTCAGAGTACTGTCCGTCCAGTCTAGATTGATTTGTAGGAGAGAACTGCAGTCTGTTCCATGCCTAGCCTGAGCCACGGCCTGTACTACCTGTTATGCTATAAGACCCTCTGATTTCCAGGACCCTCTGGCTTTGGATTTTGGTCGCCATCTTTGGTTCTGCTTGTTTTATATTGATGGTTCAACCTGCAAGACAAAAAAGAGGGAGGTATTGTTTAACATCATTATTGACATATTTAATATAATTATTGTGTCAGACACTCTGGTAGGTTCTGGAAAGACAGATGTGAACCCAAGTTTTGGAAGTCTAAGTAACTCATCGAAAGTCCCACTGCTGGTAAATGACAGAGCTGATATGTGAACCAGTCAGTCGGGCTTTGGAATTCATACTCTTACTCATTGTGTCACTAACTCTACATGACCGACCACAATACTAGGCATTAAGTGTCAAATAGATGTAAGTTACACAGGCTGTGAAAGCACAAAGAAAAGACATCAGTTCTGGCTAGGGGTGGGTTGGTTCTGGAAGGCTTTTAAAGAAAGAGTATTTAAGCTGATACTTAAAAGATAAAGATTTTTAACTGGCAGAAAATAAGAATGCATTACTCAGGATAATTTAGATTATGCTGTGGTAACACAGGTTTAACCCAACAAGGGTTTCTCTCTCTTAAGAAAATGATAAGTGAGCCAGGCGTGGTGGCTCACGCCTGTAATCCCAGCACTTTGGGAGGCCGAAGCAGGTGTATCATGAGGTCAGGAGATCGAGACCATCCTGGCTAACATGGTGAAACCCCGTCTCTACTAAAAATACAAAAAATTAGCCAGGCGTGGTGGCAGGCACCTGTAGTCCCAGCTACTCGGGAGGCTGAGGCAGGAGAATGGCGTGAACCTGGGAGGCGGAGCTTGTAGTGAGCCAAGATCGTGCCACTGCACTCCAGCCTGGGCGACAGAGCAAGACTCTGTCTCAAAAAAAAGAAAAGAAAAGAAAAGAAAAGAAAATGCTAAGTCAAGTTGGGCAGTGTCCAGGGCCCTCCCTTGATGTCTTGACTCAGCTCTCTAGGCTGCTACCATTTAGACTTTCTCATTCCATCACATGTGCTCCATCACTGCGCAGGGGAAGAGAGAAAAACATGGAGAATTGGTACTTGCCCTTCAAGACTTCGGCCTGAAAACCCACACAACACTTCTGCTCATGGCCCATTCATTCTAACTCAGAGAACATGGGCTATTTGGCAAGAAGTTGCTGCTTCTGCTCCAGAGAAAAGGAGCATTTCAGGCTGAGGAACAAGCACGTGCAAAGGCACGAAAGGGTAAAACTGCATGGTATGCAGGAGAGAGCAAATAGATCCAGGACACAACAGGTCTTCAATGCCATTCATAGACAAATGGAAGCTCTCATGGAGGAGCAGCAGAGTTTGCCTTGTTCTGCAAAATTATAGATGGTTTTAGATGTGCAAAATTATAGATGCAAAAAAGGAGGGCATGCAGAGATGAAAGACCAATGAGCTGGTTGTAGCCATGCCCTTGGACTTCCCAGCCTGCATAATTGTGAGCCAAATAAGCTTCTTTTCCTCGTAAATTACCCAGTCTCAAGTATTCTGCTGGAGCAACAGAAAATGGACTAAGACAGATGATCAAGAAATACTTCCTGGACGGGCGTGGTGGCTCAAGCCTGTAATCCCAGCACTTTGGGAGGCCGAGACGGGCGAATCATGAGGTCAGGAGATCGAGACCATCCTGGCTAACATGGTGAAACCCCGTTTCTACTAAAAAAAATACAAAAAACTAGCCGGGCGAGGTGGCGGGCGCCTGTAGTCCCAGCTACTCGGGAGGCTGAGGCAGGAGAATGGCATAAACCCGGGAGGCGGAGCTTGCAGTGAGCTGAGATCCGGCCACTGCACTCCAGCCTGGGCGACAGAGCGAGACTCTGTCTCAAAAAAAAAAAAAAAAAAAAGAAATACTTCCTAGAGGAAGTGAACTTGGAAGGGAACCCATGGTATGGCCAAGCAGAGAAAAAGCAGGAGTAAACCTTTCTGTATCAGCGGGAAATAATCATGCAGGAGAGAGCGTAGTTCAGGCAGAGGCAATGAGAAAAAGTAAGAGAACATGGTCACTAGAAGCACTATAGATGAGTCTCGTGTACTTAGACACTGCAATCCTAATTGCACAGGAGCTCAAAAGGGACAGCAATCATGGGATGGTCCTGTGGTTTGAATGTGACCCCCAAAAGTTCGTGTGCTTGAAACTTAGTTGATAATATATACAATTTGGTGAAGGCAAGAGAATATGATTCTAAGATTTCCTACCTCTCTGCCAAGCCAATAGTGGTAGTCAGTATCTAAAATAGGAAACACAAAAGAAGCAGCCTGTTTTGAAAGAGAAAAACTTGTTTGTGCTGTGCTCTGGAACACATACACAGAAATGTGTAGGAGACAACTGGAAATACAGCCTCAAGCTCTGGTGTGAGGAGAGGCATCCCAAGATGAGGGTACAAGAGAAGCAAAGGAATGGAGACAGGAAATATCAGGGTATATAGGAGACCTACAGTAAGAATGAAGGTCATTCCTCACCCATTTACTCTGTCCTTGCCACCCTCCTCAGAGTCACCTCCCGCTGCCTGCTACACATCTGCACCTGGAGGGCCCCTCAAATGTAATCAACTCTTTGGCTCTTATCAATAAAATCCAGAGCCATCCATACATACTGCTCTGTCTTCATTGAACTGTTTCAATCTTCAGTAGCTATTTTTCTGCCATTAATCATAATTCTATGCAGCATTGTATGTGCCCTCAGTTCACAAAGTCTTTTTAACATATATGCACGTAGCCGTCCTCTGAATGAGATCACTGGTTTTTCTAGCCTCAGTGAAATTGAAAAATAGATCATGTCAGCTGTGTGACACTGGGCCAGTTAATTGACCTCTCTGAACCTTAGTATTTGCATCCACTAGGGAAAAAAACATCTAATATCTGCTCCATCTATTTAAACAGGTGGTTGGGATCAAATGAAAATAATGAGTGTGAAATAGTTGTATAATCCCTACGGTAAGAGTGTTAGTGATAGAAGTTATCGTTGTCACAATATGCCTTCTAGGGACCAGTCAGTAAAGACACATAAGAAAAACTCAGCTAGACAACCTAATGCAAAGAGAGAGATTTAATTGAATACTTTTTATGGATCCAGTGGTATGACTGCTACAAATAAACAGCATAATCGTCGTCCTCTGGGAGCTGGGGTGATAAAGTATACAGACAGAGATGATCAATGCACAGCACAGAATAAAAGTGCGTCTCATGTGAATCATACAGATCCTAATTGCACAGGCGCTGAAAAGGGACTGTGATCACAGGCTGCATCTATGGGTTTGAGTGTGTCCCCCAAAAGTCCATGTGTTGGAAACTTAGTCGCTAATGTAACAGTATTGAGAGGTGGGGCCTTTTAAAAGGGAATTAGGTAATAAGGGTAGAGCCTCATAAATGGATTAATGCTGTTTGCAAGTGAGATCATTTCCAAGGAACTGAGTTAGTGCCCTGAGGTCTCTTTGGCATGCACTCACTTGCCCTTCCACATTTCTGCTGTGTTATAATGCAGTATGGAATCCCTTACCAGGGGCCGGGCGCGGTGGCTCACACCTGTAATCCCAGCACTTTGGGAGGCCGAGGTGGGTGGATCACGAGGTCAGGAGATCGAGACTATCCTGGCTAACACGGTGAAACCCCATCTCTCCTAAAAATACAAAAAATTAGCCAGGCATGGTGGCAGGTGCCTGTAGTCCCAGCTACTAGGGAGGCTGAGGCAGGACAATGGCGTGAACCCGGTAGGCGGAGCTTGCAGTGAGCCAAAATCGGGCCACTGCACACCTGGGTGACAGAGCGAGACTCCGTCTCAAAGGAAAAAGAAATTCTTACCAGAAGCTGTCACCATGCCCTTGGTCTTCCCAGCCTCCATAACCGTGAGCCAAATAAGCTTCTTTTCTTTTTAAATTAGCCCATCTTAAATACTCCGTTATAGCAACAGAAAATGGACTAAGACAGATGGTCAATAAATGCTTCCTAGAGAAAGTGAACTTGGGAAGGAGCCCATGATATGGCCAGGTAGATAGGAAGGAGGTGTAGACTAACCTGGATATATCAGAAGAGAGCTGAATCAGAAAAATCCTAATTGTCCCCTCCCTCTCAGCCAGCCTGCTCCTGAAGCTAGAAGGCTCCAATCTTCCCAAGGAGGGAAAGAGTATGGAACAATGTCTTATGTCAATACTAAGGAAAGGGATTTCCTATTTCAATCTCTGTTGCTAAACAAGCATTTGCAGCTGAACCACAATCTCAAGAAATGGGCCAAGATCAGGTGCACAGGGAAGGCTCTGAGGAGAGCCTTACCACTCAGCATTCCGGGCACAGCGCCAGCCACTCAGATAGCATACAAAACACGGCTGGGGCTCCTTGTGCAAGACTGACTGCAAGCTTTATCTGCATGGACACTTTCTTGGCTCACAGAATTGTTTTGGAACAAAAGCTATTCATTTCAGCTTGATTTGGAGCCACAGTCCTTGGCTTTCTGCAGTGTCAGGGCTTGGCAGTGTTTCTGGCCACTGGGTCAGCCATGAGGCCAACAGCAGAGAGGGGAGCAAAGGCACAACCCCCGACTGTATTGGGGGATGCTGAGAGGTGGTCCTGCTCTTCCTGGGATGGCCAGGGGACTGAGGAGCCAAGGCTGCTGGAGTGATTCTTTTCAGCAGCAGTCAACGGTCCCCTCCTCCCCAACACACACACACACACACACACACACACACATGCACACACACACACTCTCTCTCTCTCTGTTATGCTAGTTTCTGATGACAGGGCTTAAAGCATCCTCATCCTTTCAGTCATAACTTTTCAGATTATAAATACAGTACTTCATCGGGTGAAATAACCATCTCCTTAGTAGTGAGGCAGAGGCAGCTAAATGGCGGATGGTGGAGTTGTACCTACTTTGCCAGTTAGAAATTTAAACTTCTCTGATAAAAATGACAGTCACTCTATTTCTTTCCCTTTGTGTTTAAAAAAAAAAAAATCTCTGAAGAATTTGCAACTACCCCTCAAAGAAGATTAACAGGAGTTATTTCTAAAAGCACAATCAAGAGGGGCTTTCCAGCGATGGCGTCTCTTTACACAAAGGAGGGATTTGCTGGGAAGAGGGGAGTCTGTGTCGTGAACATTTTTAGGAGTCTTCCCGTGAGGGGACAGAATAATCTTCCTCCAACCATTTCCCATGCAAATTCACTTAAGGGATGGATTCCTTTTTAAATTGTAATAAATCTAAACTACAAAAAATATGACTGACTCCCTGGGTCCGGAATGGTCTTCAAGAGGTGATCTTGGTGTCCACTCACAACGGGAGAAAACCCACCTTGATATTCAAGCTCCCCAGGAAGGGTGCAGCTGTGGCCTTTCTCCAGGCCACCCCTTCTCCTTCTGTCCAGCGTGCATCCCTTCTGAGCTATCTCCTTTCTTGAGACACATTGAAGACCCCCGGTCCTTCCCCATACCGTCACCTCCCCACCCCACCCCACCACCGTTGACCAGACCACAGCTGCCCAGTTCTCCCAGAATCCTGACTTCTCCACAACTATTTCCTGAGGCCTCAAACAAATGCTGCACAAAAGGGTCGTCACTGGGCCGGGCACAGTGGCTCACATCTATAATCGTAGCACTTTGGGAGGCCAAAGCGGGTGGATCACCTGAGGTCAGGCATTCAAGACCAGCCTGGCCAACATGGCAAAACCCCATCTCTACTAATAATATAAAAATTAGCCAAGTGTGGTGGCAGTCACCTGTAATCTCAGCTACTCAGGAGGCTGAGGCAGGAGAATCGCTTGAACCCAGGGGCGGAGGTTGCAGTGAGCCGAGATCGCACCGCTTCACTCCGTCGGAAAAAAAAAAAAAAAAAGCGTCATCACTGGACTCTCTGATCCCATCACAGGCCTAGCATTGCCCCTCTCAGATTCCAGCTGAGTGAGGTGTGACACTGAACATTTTAAAGAACTCAGACAGTCACTAAAAGTATCAGAAAGTGATAGTCTCAATATTCCATCCATCCCATAGTCACGATTTCTTCCCATAGTAAGTGGGCGTCACGCTCTACAAGATTTCGGGGACTAGAACTTTCCTGTAATCCAGAGCAGGCTTCCTGGAAGACAATCGTAATTATGTGTTTGCTGTGCAGAGATGTAAATAGTGACCCCAAACCATTGTGCTCTTTTTTTAAGTAGGCAACTCACATCCCAACTATAGCACTGCCAGCCACAGTCCAAATGCCCAAGTCTAATATGCCCTGTTAACTGTACCCAGCCTCAGAAACGTCTCTCATCTCTATTACATTCTCAATGGCCCGTTTAATGTGTCTTCCAGGTTTTTCAGGCCCTGCCTCCAGACACATAATTGCCTACTGGACATCACCATCTGGCTCTGACCAACAGCTGACACACAATAGATCCAAGCCAAGTTCACGTTCCTCTTCTACCTTTGTCCCAACTCTCTTCCTGGCACCCCATCTGTCCTAAGAACAGCCTCACATCCTCAAGACCCAGAGAAATCACCACCATATCTTTCAGAACGCTTTCTTGACATTCCACCCAGGATAAAGTAAAGGCCCACACTTAAGCACCTTCTTTACCCTCCAGCTGTCTGCATGGCACCTGCGCCATGCCACTGAGTTGATACACGTGGCCATCTCCTACCACTAGACTACAAGTCACTTGAGAACAGGGACTGTGTCCTGAAGGTCCTGAAGTCTGTGTTATTACAGTGCCTAACTATACCTGACACATAGTAGATGCCCAATAAATGTCTGTTACATGGAGGAATGAACCAATGATACAAGCAATTCTAAATTCTGCCCAAGCCTTATTAAGACCCTTCCTTCCTGTAGCCCTCATCTAAGTTCAACTCTCTTCCTGGAACCCCATCTGCTGCAAGAACACCCACACATCCCCAGGTTTTCCTTAAGTCAAATAGGAAAGCATTTTAGAAGTCCAGATGGAAATTTTTTCCACCTTGCCCCAGGTGGTCAGGGCTGTGGGAACACAGGAAATGAGAGGCTAGGCTGAAACAAGAGCCCTGCATGTGCTGGAGGCCACAGCAGGTTGCCCAGCCCTGCTGTTTAGTTCACTATGTGTCACCAGCTAACACCCCCAGGCAGAGCTGCTGGACAGGGGAATTCTTCATCTCCTTCTACACATTAAAAAAAAAAAAAAAAAAATTGAGACAGTGTTTCACTATTTCACCCAGACTGGAGTGCAATGCAATCAGCTCACTGCAGCCGGGACCTCCTAGACTCAAGCGATCCTCCAACCTCAGCTTCTCGAGTACCTGGGACTATGGGTGTGCACCACCAAACCTGGCTAAATTTTTTTTTTTTTTTTGTAGAGACAGTGTCTCATTCTGTTGCCCAGGCTGGCCTCAAACTGCTGGGCACTAGCCATCCTCCTGCCTCAGCCTTCCAAAGTGCTGGAATTATAGGCATGATCCACCATGCCCAGCCTCCACCACATTTTAAACAAGTCCAGGCATCAGAGGTGGGCATCAGCTTGGCTGGTTGGCGTCAGCTTGGCTGGTAGACATACCTACACAAGGCTGCATTGAGGCTGGGACATCACAGGCGAGATAGGTGTGAAAGCCTCGACAATCGCAGGAGAAGGGCCTTCTGACCAGCACCACTCCCTCTGACCCCATGAAAAGCTGTCATTTCCTAGGTGACTGGAGTTGCAGACAGCACAGAAAGACACTGCGTGAATTCTCTCGGCTCAGGGAAAGAAATATATCCCATCCATTCCTCTGGCTTCTATTAGAGTCCTCGTTTGAATGTAAATCTGGCCACTTCACTCACCTGCTCTTTGGGGAAAAATAGCACCACCTTTGTAAGGCATAGACCTTTCCTTTCCATCCCTGCCTGCCTGTCCCACCTCACGCTCCCCTTGTACTCTATGCTCAGCAAACAGCAATCAGCGTGCCCTCAGACACGCGAGACTCATACATCGCTGTGCTTCGGCAGCCACGGTCTTCCTTCCTCTGCCCAGCGGAAGCCTCAGGATCCTCCAAGCTTCAAGGCTGTCTCTTCATAGATGACTACCCCGACTCTTCATGTAGAATCGGAAGCTCCCTCTCACCACAGTCTTAATTTTATGTTTCTCCTGGCTGGGCACAGTGACTCATGCCTGTAATCGCAGCACTTTGGGAGGCTGAGGCAGGCAGATCACATGAGTTCAGGAGTTTGAGGCCAGCCTGGGCAACATGGCAAAATCCCCTCTCTATTAAAAATACAAAAAAAAAAAAAGAAAAATGAGCCAGGCATGGTTGTGCCTGCCTGTAGTCCCAGTTACTTGGGAGGCTGAGAAGGGAGAATCACTGGAGCCCGGGAGGTCAAGGCTGCAGTGAGCCGAAATCACGCCACTGCACTCTAGCCTGGGCAACAGAGTCAGACTTTGCCTCAAATAATAATAATAGTAATAATAATAATAAAATAAATAATGATGTTTCTACAATTGTAGTGAGACCAGTTTTTCTGTATCATGTCAACAGTTCTTCCAGTGTTAGTCCTTACCAGCCTCAGTTTCCTTACCTGTAAAATGGAGATAATAATTGAACTACCCTTTCGCATGGGTGGGAAGATTGATCCCCAAAAGCGGCTGGTGCCTGGGGAGGTGGGACGGGGCAAGTAAGGTGGGCAACACAGGGCTCATTCACGAGCAGCAACCCCTGTGGGCCACCTGAGTTCTGCCCTACTGGGAGCCTCTGGGAGAAACAACGTAGAACACCCTCAGAAGAGCCCCCCCCGGGGGGGCGGGGAGGAAGCTTGGTACTTTTTATCAAGCAACTATTTTTCACTATCAGTTGCAGGTTGATCCAGGGGGCATCCACTCCCTGGCACTCTGGCCACATGTGTGGCAGTCATGTTCCTATGACCAGAGAAAACCCCCTGAGCAGAGAGGCTCAGGCACTTCCCGTGTAAGTCCCTGATGCTGGGTGGGATGTCGACACCGTCTGATGTCATTCACCTGCAGCTCTGCCATTGGCTGGCTGAGGGAGCTTCGCTCCTCTAGAAGGTAGATATATTTGGCCAGGTGCAGTGACTCATGCCTGTAATCCTAGCACTTTGGGAGGCCGACGGGGGTGGATCACTTGAGGTCAGGAGTTTGAGATCAGCCTGGCCAACATAGTGAAACCCCGCCCTACTAAAAATACAAAAATTAGCCAGGTGTGGTGGTGCACACCTGTAATCCCGGCTACTCAGGAGGCTGAGGCAGGAGAATCGCTTGAACCTGGGAGGTGGAGGTTGCAGTGAGCCAAGATCGCACCACTGCACTCCAGCCTGGGTGACAGAGTGAGACTCTGTTTCAAAAAAAAAAAAAAAAATAGATATATTTGATTGTGGGCACCCTAAGGTACCTTGTGGTGGGCCCAGTCCTCCATCAGCCCACATCCCCCAAAGCTGGGCACTGTTAAGCTGCCCTTGGGTGGGCCACTTAGCCTCAAGGGACTTTGAGGGCAGGAGCCATGCTCATTTTGCTCATCACTGTGTTCCTGGTACCTCGAGCAGTGCTCAGCAGATGCCAGCCTCCAAGTCCACATTGGCTGCCTGGCTGACAGAGAGCACGTGGTGCAGAATGAGGTTATAGAAAAGGAAACCCTGACATTCAACCTCAAACCTAGCCCCAGGACCCCAAGCAATGGAAGACCATGACCATTGCCTTTGCATCTGTGAGTAGGTTGTGGTGTAAGATACGTTTTTAAGATCTATGTGTGTAAGATACGTTTTTAACTTTCAAATATCACACTTTAGATCCAGAAAGGGCAACTTATAGGAGCTTTAAATTCGTAGGTGGCTGTCTGGGTTACCTTATGTGACTCAGAGCTGGGGCCGGCCGCCTGCACTGCAGTCCGTGGATCACTGTCTCCGTCTCCAGGCCCAGGACGCAGCTTGCAAACCTAAATGGAATTGTCTTTATCACAACTCACACCAGTCACTTAATTAAATCGAGCTGCACAAAACGACCCAAAGGGGTGCCCTCCACTCCTGCCCCACGTCTCCTCGTAGGCTTCCCAGATGTGGTCCCCACCTGCCTCCCAGGGCCCAGGTGAGGGACCAGGGTTACCTTTTGGAGAAATGCCATCCTCGGCCTGTACTGCTGGCCTTGGTGTCGGATTTTCATTCTGGCCCCTGGATGGATTCACAGCCAGAGCACCAGTGGGAGACAAGAGGAGAAGCCCCCCAAGTTCGAAAGGCAGCCTGGCTCGCTCCAGCCCTGGGTGGTCGACGGGGAGGCGGCTGGGCGGGGAGGGCGTGGGCCGGGCCCCCCGACCCTAACTAGGCGCCTCCAACTTGGAAAGCAGCTGGAATCCGCGCCAGCCAATCCGCGAGCGGCGCCGCGGGCTTATTAGCATGCGCTGCGCGGGCGCCCACCTGCCGCCAGAGGGCGCTGTCCGGCCCCCGCCGGGACCCCGCCGAGCGGCAGGTGAGACCCGCAGGGCAGGGCCCCGGGGCGGGGGTGGAGGGGCCGGGGAGAAGGAGGAGGGAGAGGAGGAGGAGGGAGAGAGGGTGGAGGAGGAGGAGGAGCTGTGGCGAGGAGGGAGAGGAGGATCTGTGGCAGAGGGCGAGCCTTAGACTGCACCACTAAGGACTGGGGAAGTGAAAACAGATGTAACACGCTTTGGCTCCCTGGCTAGCCAGCCCCCAAATCATTGAATGGCACTAAGCAAATTATTCGGTTTTTGCCATTAAAATGGCAAGCCACATTAAAATGGCAAGCCACAATTACTTTTGCACCAACCTAATGTTTAAACTTTGTCAGCATCACATTCCCCAGCTAACACGAGAAAAGCAAGTGGTTAGGAAATGACTCATGTGCTGTGAGGACTGAATAAATATCTGGGTTAAGGACTGGCAGTGGGGTGTGCTTGGTGGCGAAGAATGCTGCTCACGGGCCAGATGGGCTGGCTCTGAGCCCTGGATTTGCCATCTAGCTACAGGATCTCAAGCAAGTTATGGAAGCTCTCTGGGCTTCCTTTGTCTCATCCGATGAGTGAGAATCACTGCACCCTCCCCAGGGGGCGGGCAGCGGTTTGTTTGGTTCTGGTTTTGGTTTTAAGATTACTGAGCTGATTCATGTACAAGCACTTAGAACTATAACTGACACTTGGTGAATGTCCAATAACCAATAGTTTCTTTCTTATGTCTCTTGGGACTCTAAAAAAAAAAAAAAAATTTACTAGGCGTAGTGGTTCCATTATATACATAGTCTGATATACTGATATATATATATATATATAATTCTGAAAATAATTCTCAGAGTTCTCAAAATAATATGAAAACTGTTGGAGTCATAACTGGAGGTAAAGTATAATCTCTGGAATCAGATTACTTGGGGTAAAATATCAACTCTGTTACTTACCCTCTGTGTGACTTTGGGCAAGTTACTTAACCCCTCTGTGCTTTGATTTCTGTAAAATGAGGATGGTGCAATGACAGGGGACAAAAGAGTAAAGAATCAATAAACACCAGTTGTTGTTAGTATTATCAACATTAAAATCTTTAAAGATAGTTTAAATATGGAATGCTAGCTACATCTCCGGCAGGAGGAGATTTTCCAGGTTTAACATTCAGGATCAGGGACATTCCCATCTTTTATTTCTAGAGCCAGGTGGCCTGAGCATGGCAGACAAAGCTGATGTCAGATGGAGGCATGTGGGCATTTGTCATAAGACGTATGCTCGGAAGATATGTCTTCAGATCATCTGCGTCTCATTCCTATGGAAGAGCCATGTTTCCACCAAGCTACCGAGACATCTTAGCTCCAGGTTAGAGTACTGGAATAAAAGTTTCAGAAATGAGACTCTGAAGTCTGGTTGACTCACAGGGAAATGACTAGGCAGAAAGCCCTGAGATGTAGCTTCCAGCCCTAGCTTGGCCACGGCCACAGTGAATGACAACGTGGAAACCAGGTTTTCAAATTTAGTTGAATCGGTTCAGCAAAGCAATTTCAAAATCATTTCAACTTCGTGTGTTTCTGTGGTTGGTTCCCATATTCTCTTAATTTGCTAATTTGGGCTTTCTGTCTCTTTTTTTTTTTTTTTTGAAATGGAGTCTGGCTTTGCAGCCCAGGCTAGAGCGCAGTGGCATGATCTCAGCTCACTGCAAGCTCCACCTCCCGGGTTCATGGCATTCTTCTGCCTCAGCCTCCCAAGTAGCTGGGACTACAGGCCCAGCTAATTTTTGTATTTTTAGTAGAGACGGGGTTTCATGCTGTTAGCCAGGACGGTCTCAATCTCCTGACCTTGTGATCCACTCGCCTTGGCCTCCCAAAGTGCTGGGATTATAGGCTTGAGCCACTGCGCCCAGCTTCTTTTATTCTTAATGAGGTTAGATAGTTTTTTTTTTATTATAATGAGATGCATGTATTATTTTTCCTTGAGAATCAGGTTTTTTTTTGAAAGTTAGAACTTTGGGTCGGGCACGGTGGCTCAAGCCTGTAATCTCAGCACCTTGGGAGGCTGAAGCAGGTGGATCATTTGCGGTCAAGATCAGCCTAGCCAACATGGTGAAACCCATCTCTACTGAAAATACAAAAATTAGCTGGGCAGTAGTGGCGCATGCCTGTAATTCCAGCTACTTGGGAGGCTAAGGCAGGAGACTCACTTGAGCCTGGGAGGCAGAGACCATGGTGAGCCAAAATCGTGCCAGTGCACTCCAGCCTGGGCGACAGAGTGAGATCCTGTCTCAAAAATAAATGAATAAATATAAATACATAAATAAAAGTTAGAACTTTAAAATTATTTTGTCATCAGACATATATGCAGTTTAGTTAACAAATATGAGGGGGCCCTGTAAATTACAAATATCTTTAGGTATATAGAGTGACAGCTTATGTCAGGTTGCATTTATTGTCCTGAAATAGCTAATGGTGCCCTCTTGCACTCTCAAAAGTGACTATGTTTAGGCTGGGTGCAGTGGCTCATGCCTGTAATCCCAGCACTTTAGGAGGTCAAGACAGGTGGATCGCTTGAGCCCAGGTGTTTGAGACTAGCCTGAGCAACATAGTGAGACCCTGTCTCTAGTAAAGAAAATTATTTTATAACTAACACAAAATAAAACAAAAAAAGTGACTATGTTTGGATGATAACTCATGTGGCTACCCTCATCACATGCTAATTTCCTTCTCTAACAATTATCAAACCAGGCCTCCTTGTTTCCTAGATGAGGGAGACACCCATGGTGTGCTGGAAAGTTAATATGACTAGGACTTGTGACACTTGGATTCTAATCCCAGATCTACTGATTGATTAGGGAACTTAGATAAGGCACATTATTTCTCAGAGCCACATTCACTGATCAGACGTGTTCAGTGTTTCCCAAAGTTTGCTGAAGATCAACGTTTCTCAACATTTAATACAAATGTTCGTCTCCTGAGGATCTTGTTAAAAGTGCAGATTCTGGCTGGGCACAGTGGCTCACACCTGCAATCCCAGCGCTTTCTGATGCTGAGGCAGGAGGATCGCTTGAGCCTAGAAATTCAAGATCAGCCTGGGCAGCAAAGGGAGACCTCCATTTCTAAAAAATAAAAAATAAAACTATGAGTTGCATGCTGTGGCGTGCATCTGTAGTCCTAGCTATTCAGTAGGCTGAGGTGAGAAGATCTCTTGTGACCGGGAGTTTGAGGTTGCAGTGAGCTGTGATCACACCACGGCACTGTAGCCTGGGCAACAGAGCAAGACTCTGTCTCAAAAATAAATAAATAGGCTAGGTGCAGTGACTCATGCGTGTAATCCCAGCATTTTGGGAGGCTGAGGCGGAAGGATTTCTTGAGGCCAGGAGTTCAAGATCAGCCTGGGCAACAAAGTGAGACCTCCATTTCTACAAAAAAATAAAAATAGGAACCGGATGCTGTGGTGTGTGCCTGCAGTCCTAGCTACTCAGGAGGTTGAGGTGAGAAGATAGCTTGTACCCAGGAGCTTGAGTATGCAGTGAGCAATGATCGAGCCACTGCACTCCAGCCTCGGTGACAGAGCAAAAACTTCTCTCAAAAATAAACAGGCTGAACATGGTGGCTCACACCTGTAATCCCAGCACTTTGGGAGGCTAAGCTGGGAGGACTGCTTGAGCTCATGAGTTTGAGACCAGCCTGGGCAACATGGCTGGTCTCAAGTCAGATGAACACCTTGTCTCTATTTTTTTCCTTCTTCTAAAAAAAAAACCAAAAACAAAAAAACAGGACACATGTGCAGACCATGCAGGCTTTTTACACAGGTATACTGTGCCATGCACCTATTGATCCATCCTCTGAGTTCCCTCCCCTCACCCCCCACTCCCCAACAGGCCCCAGTGTGTGATGTTTACCTCTCTGTGTCCATGTGCTCTCAGTGTTCAACTCCCACTTATAAGTGAGAACATGTGGCATTTGGTTTTCTATTCCTGTGTTAGTTTGCTGAGGATACTGGCTTTCAGCTTCATCCATGTCCCTGCAAAGGACATGATCTCATTACTTTTATTGCTGCATAATATTCTATGGTATATATGAGCCACATTTTCTTTATCCGGTCTAACATTGATGGGCATTTGGGTTGGTTCCATGTCTTTGTTATTATAAATAGTGCTGCAATGAACGTACGTGTGCATATGTCTTTATAGCAGAATGATTTATGTTCCTTTGGGTCTTTGGGTATATACCCAGTAATTGTATTGCTGGGTTAAATGGTATTTCTGGTTCTAGATCCTTGAGGAATTGCCATACTGTCTTCCACAATGGTTGAACTAATCTACAGTCCCACCAACAGCGTTCCTGTTTCTCCACAGCCTCATCAGCATCTATTGTTTCCTGACTTTTTAATAACTGCCATTCTGACTGGCATGAGATGGTATCTCACTGTGGTTTTGATTTTCATTTCTCTGATGATCAGTGATGATGAGCTTTTTTTCATCTTTGTTGGCCACATAAACGTCTTCTTTTGAGAAGTGTCTATTCATACCCTTTGCCCACTTTTCGATGGGGTTGTTTTTTTCTTGTACATTTGTTTAAGTTCCTTGTAAATTCTGGATTTTAGACCTTTGTCAGATGGGTAAATTGCAAAAATTTTCTCCCATTCTATAGGTTGCCTGTTCACTCTTATGATAGTTTATTTTGCCGTGTAGAGCTCTCTCGTTTAATTACACCTCATTTGTCAATTTTGGCTTTTGTTGCAATTGCTTTTGACATTTTAGTCATGAAGTCTTTGCCCTTGCCTATGTCTTGAGTGGTATTGCCTAGGTTTTCTTCTCGGGTTTTTATGGTTTTGGGTTTTACATTTAAGTATCTAATCCATCTTGAGTTAATTTTTGTATAAGGCGTAAATTTCTAATTTAATTAATTAAATGTATTAATTTAAATTTATAAATTTATTAAATTAAAGTAAATTTATAAATTTATTAAGTAAATTTAAATTTATAAAAATTATAAATTTATTAAATTACATTAATAATGTAATTATTTTTAAAATAATTAAAACTTTTTAAAATTTTAATAAATAAATAAAGTACAGTTTCTGATGCAGTAGTTCTGGGGTGAGTCTGAGATTCTGCACTTCTGACAGGCTGCCAGGTGATGCTCAAGCCAACTTCAATCTGAGTAGCAAGATGTAAAAGCAATGGCATGTTAGCTTCTAACAGCTGATATAAAGAAATATAAGAAATGGGGGTACAGGTGGGGTGTATTATAGCCAAACACATTCAGAAGTCTATGTGTTCAATACATTTAAAAAGGATTATTGCCGGACACGGTGGCTCACGCCTGTAATCCCAACACTTTGGGAGGCCGAGGCAGATGGATCACCTGAGGTTGGGAGTTCGAGACCAGCCTGGGCAACATAGTGAAACCCTGTCTCTACTAAAAATACAAAAATTAGCTGGACATGGTGGCAGGCGCCTGTAATCCCAGCTACTGGGGAGGCTGAGGCAGGAGAATCGTTTGAACCTGGGAGGCGGAGTGAGCCGAGAGCACGCCATTGCACTCTAGCCTGGGCAACAAGAGCAAAACTCTGTCTCAAAATAAAAGGGGGGATATTTTTTAGTGCAGAGCTCCCCAAAGCCTCTGACATACTTCCAAATAGAATGACTTAAGCAACTTAGAAAGCAAGTTTTTCAGAAAGACAAAAGTGTTTATTTGCAATAGAGGCAAGAGGGCAACTGGTTTTCCCACACTCCTGCTCAATCCCTCTCCCAGATGAACAGATGATGTCTTGCCATACTTAAACTTCATTGCAAAGAAACTGGTTTCATCCACAGCTCCCTTCACGTTCCCACCCAATCCCTTAGCTTCCATTTTGGACCATGGGACTTGACTCACAGACTGGCAATCAACCTGTAACATGGCCAGGTATAAAAGGATGACCTGAGCCTGGGCAACGCAGTTAGACTCCGTCTCTGCAAAAAAATTTTAAAAATTAGCCAGTGGTGGTGGTGCATGCCTGTAATCTCAGCTACTCAGGAGGATGAGGTGGGAGGATCACTTGAATTCAGCAGGTCGAGGCTGCAATGGGCTGTGAATGCACCACTGCATTCCAACCTGGATAATGGAGAGAGACCCTGCAAAAGAAAAAAAAAAAAAGATGACCTGGACCAATCAACGACATGATCATTCTTGGAAACAGCCAGTTGAGCCAGTTGGTAGAGTTGGACAAATTTGAAAAGGGTGGAATCAGGCCCATGCTGAGGCAAAGCCACAAGAGAGCAACGTTATGAGGGAAGTGAACTCTGAGCGGGCAGTGAAAGCCCACGGTAGAAACAGAAGCAGAATGTTCTGTTCCAATATGGAACAGAAGCACAGAGCACTGCAGAGATGCCCCCAAGAGCTCTTAGAAATGGAAGTTGATACGGTGTGGATGTGTGTCCCCTCCAAATCTCATGCTGAAACGTGATCCCCAACGTTGGAGGTAGACATGATGGCAGATATTGGATCATGGGGGCAGATTTCTCAACAATGACTTAGCACCATCCCCTTGGTGATAAGGGAGTTCTCCTTCAGTTACTTCACATGAGATCTGGTTGTTTAAAAGCGTCTAGAACCTCCCCTTTCTCTCTCTTGCTCCCTCTCTTACCATGTGACACATCTGCTCCTGCTTGGCCTTCAGCCATGAGTGAAAGCTCCCTGAGGTCTCTCCAGAATTGCAGGGGATTCTGGCACCATGCTTCCATTACAGCCTGCAGAACCGTGAGCCCTCTTCTTCAGGAACCAACACAGAAGGGAAAGACGCTGGGAGCCATTGCTGGGTCAAAAAGAGCAGCTTATTTTTTCATGATGGTAACAGGCTACAGACTAGAAGAATAATACAGTTACGTTTCAATGAGACTTTTCTGTTTTTTTGTTTGTTTGTTTTTGGGATGGAGTCTTAATCTGTTGCTCAGACCGGAGAGCAGTGGTGCAATCTTGGCTCACTGCAACCTCTGCCTCCCAGGTTCCAGTGATTCTCCTCCCTCAGCCTCTGAGTAGCTGGGATTACAGACGCATGCCACCACACCCAGCTAATTTTTGTATTTTTAGTAGAGACAGGGCTTCACCATTTTCAGACCAGAGGGGAAAAAGTGAACTTTGCCCCCTTCCCTCTAGAAAGCCCAAAGTCAATTTGCAGCCAACTTGAAGCAATAGTAGAAGTTTATTGCCTTTATATCTTCATTCTCTCCAACCTCACCCTATATCCACCCTGGTCTTGACTCCATATTTAATTTGTTGTTTTTTTTTTTTTTGTCCTGATTTTTAATTTATACTTTATCATTTTATTTGATGCATCTCCTAAATGCTTTGTCGACTCACTTGTGAAAAGAGACACAATGGCCGGGCACCGTGGCTCATGCCTGTAATCCCAGCACTTTTTAAGAGGCCAAGGTGGGTGGATGACGAGGTCAGGAAATAGAGACCATTCTGGCTAACACGGTGAAACCCGTCTCTACTAAAAATACAAAAACCAAATTAGCCGGGCGTGGTGGTGGGTGCCTGTAGTCCCAGCTACTCTGGAGGCTGAGGCAGGAGAATGTCGTGAACCCGGGAGGTGGAGGTTGCAGTGAGCCGAGATCACACCACTGCACTCCAGCCTGGGCGACAGAGCGAGACTCTGTCTCAAAAAAAAACAAAAAACAAAAAACAAACAAAAAAACAGAAAACAAAAGAGACACAGAGACACAACAATAAATAAATATACCAGATGAGAGCTAAGTGAAGTGATTTGTGTCTGAATGACCATAATCCCAATTCCTCCTATTAATCATCATCCCAGGCGTAGAGATAGGTCTATAGAAGCATGTCACAGGATTCACCCAAAACTGCCTCCTGTTAAAAATTAAAATGATTTAGATAACAACATTGATGACACACTGTTTACATTTTCAAACAAAGATGCAAATGGAAAGAATGACTAACACGTTAGAAAATAGGATTTGCTTCCAAAAGTTCTTGCCAATCTAAGCGTAAGCCAGTGTGCTTTCAGGAACTGATCATATCTCCACTGTGAATCAGCATCTCTGGGCTAAAGTTCAATGTTACAGTTTCCCACTATTATCTAAAATCATTATAAGAATTAATTGTACTGGGTGCTGTAGCTCACGCCTGTAATCCCAGCCCTTAGGGAGGCCAAGGCAGGCAGATCACTTGAGGTCAAGAGTTCGAGACCAGCCTGGCCAACATGGTGAAACCCTGTCTGTACTAAAAATACAAAAAAATTAACTGGGCATAGTGGCCGTAATCCCAACTACTGGGAAGGCTGAGGTGGGAGAATCGCTTGAACTTGGGAGGCGGAGGTTGCAGTGAGCCGAGATCGCAAGAAACAAGAATCAGTTGTGTGAATTTCTCTTTGAAAAAAAATTGTGATTCAATACCAATGAGATCCAAACACTGTTGTCAAAGAATTATCCATTCTATCTCTCTACCATGTACAATAGGAGAAATTTCTTTCAAAGTTTAGTACCAAGAAAAACTTAATTTTCCTTAAAAAAACTCAGAATGTTTCTCTGCTCAAGAGAGATGTGTATCATGTTTCCTTTTTCATCTTGACCATCAAATCCCTTCAGACCTGCCATCAGGCTCCCTTGGAATAAACATTTGATTTCTAATATTTTCTCCACTCTTTTCCTATTTTGATTCCTATACAATTGGCTTTTACTATCTGGGCTTTTATATATTGGTAAGCCACAACAACTTTTTTTTTTTTTTTAGAATGACTTGGGATATAAATAAACTAAATATATCCTATTTGAATAACAAGTGGAAGACAGCTTGATGAATTGGACAAGGTAGGTGAAAAAAGGGCAAAAAGGAGCAATCTCAATAGTTTTCAAGATAAATAACTATATCAAACTGATTTTTTGAATCTACATTGTTTTACTTTGGTCCAAGACATCTGCTAGAGGGAGAACAGTCTGAAGAAGTGTATTCAGGTTTGATAAGCTTGCTCCTTCTTATCCTTACGTTCTTTTGCATCTTTGTTTAAAAATGTAAACACTGCTTAGAGCACCTCTCTCCATCTAAATCAACTGGCTTTGCTTGACAGTAAAAGGATGTCTTGCTCCCACAAGCCTGGAACTCTGTTCTTCTCCCTCCACCTCCATCATTTCCAGGCAAGGTGGGCCAGTGAGTAGGTGAGGAAGGGAGGAGTGGGGAGGAGAGTGGGTTTTAGGGATTTCATGGAGAATGATTTGACCGAAGACAGACCTCCTGGTCACCTCCTCCATATGCTACCCTACAATAAGAGATGTTTCCTCCTTTCCATCCTAAGGAATGGAGTTCCTGCAATGGTAGAAATTTCCCAGAAACACTTGCTAGAAATTATCAAAGACAAATATGGCAATACCATCCCGTCTTCTGACCCCCCTCCCCGTGACACCCCACATGCCTCCTTTAGACCAAAGTCAGATGAATTCTGTTTAATATTGATGTCTCTGCTTTCGCAAGTCTCTTTTTCCCCACTATAAATATTATACGTTTCCCCTACTGAAAATTTAGAAAATAGAGAAAAGCAAATTTTTACAGATGTAATAATATCTGCACGAGGCATGGTGGCTCACATCTGTAGTCCCAGGTACTCAGAAGGCAGGCAGGAGGATCACTCAAGCTCAGGAGTTCACATCTGCCGTGAGCTATGACCTTGTCACTGTACTCCAACCTGGACAACAGAGCAAGACTCCATCTCTAAAAACAATGAATCTGGGAAAAGAAGTCTAAAAGACGTGAAATTAAATGTATGGTAGAAAGGAATGTACTGAGAGTCAGAAGACTTGGATTATAGCCTCACGTCTGCCATAACTATTAATAGCTGGGGTGATCTTGGGCAAGTAACTCATCCTTGATGATTTTTTTTTTTTTTTACTTGTAAAAGGAAAAAGTTAGGCTGGGCAGACCTGCTCTTCTAGCATTCCAGGATCACAGAATGGTTCAACAGGAGACATAATAATCAGTCTGTCTGGGTTTATATTACCAGCACTGCCACTTATGAGTTGTTTGACTTTGGGTAAATTTCACAGCCTCTCCATGTTTCAACATCCCCATCTATAAATGAAAAATGATAATATCTCTCACATATTGATGATTTGGTGAATGTCAGCTACTGTTATCTCTCCCTTCCCTTCCCTTCCCTTCCCTCCTCTTCCCTCCCCTTCCCTCCCCTCCCCTCCCCTCCCCTCCCTTCCCCTTCCTTCCCTTTCCCTCCCTCCCTCCCTCCCTCCCTCCCTTCCTTCCTTCCTTCCTTCCTTCTTTTTGCAATAGGGTCTTGTTCTGTTGCCCAGGCTAAAGTGCAGTGGTGCTATCTCAGCCCACTGCAACCTCCACTCCTGGGCTCAAGCAATCCTCCCACCTCAGCCTCTCAGGTAGCTGGGACTACAGGAGCACACCACCATGCCTGGCTAATTTTGGTATTTTTTGTAGAGATGGGGATTTTCCATGTTGCCCCAGGCTGGTCTTGAACTACTGAGCTCAAGCAACTGCCCACCTTGGCCTCCTAAAGTGCTGGAATTACAGGCATGCTATTATTATCTTAAACATGGCCCAGTGTACCTTTCCAGCTGTATCTCATGTCACACAAGACCTCTTTTCTGAAAGCCACTTGTCCAGTGCTGTCTACCCAGCAACACTGTAACCTCACGTGTCTTTTGGGATCTCAACTTTGTGATATCCAAAACCGAGTGAATAATTTCTATGCACCTACAGTCCGTGTCTCCTTAACTGTTTCCTATCACAGCAAGTAATACCAACACCTACTCACTTGCTCAGCTCAAAGACCTGGGAGTCAACCAGAGACCTCTTTCTCCCTTACTCCTGAGAGCCAATCAATCATTAAATTAATTAAATCTGTCTCCTTAATGTTTCTTTGATGGATCAATTTCAGTCATCTTCACTGCCACCCACCCTACCAGTGTCTCTTGCCTGGGCAACTCCCATGGTGCCTCACTGGTCTTCCTGCATTTGCTCCTGCCCCACACCTCCTTCCAGCTTCCAATTCATTCCTCCACTGTGGCCGGAGCAACTTTTTTTTTTAACTCTGTATTTAGACATTCCACTTTTCTGCTTAGAGGGCTTCAGTTGTCTACCACAGCTCTTAGAAAACAGCCCATTTGTAATGAGTCCCGCATGGCCCCCCAATCTGGGTGCTGCCCACCCCAGGGATCCCCCCCATGCCCCTCTCTTTATGGATCTCTGTGCCCCGGTCACGCTGTTCCCTTTCCATTTCTGGAACAATCTCAGCTTCTTTTTGCCTCGAGGCTCTTACGTGTGGCCAAAACTATTCTTCACTTACCTTTTACCCAGCTAACTTCTCATCCTTTGGGCTCCAGCCAAAATAGAACTTCCTCAAGGGAAAACCTTCCCTCTCTCCCCCTACTAGGTTAGATCCTTCTATTATGCCTCTTCTTAGTCCACTTTCCTTAACTATACTTTTTTTTCGCTTGTAAATGGAAAAGGTTAAATGTACACCCATGTTCATAGCACCGTGATTCACAATAGCCCGAAGGCGGAAGCCACCCAAGTACCCATCAACGGATGATGCGACAAATAAAATGTTATATACATGCCATGGAACATCGTTCAGCCTTAACAAGGAAGAAAATCCTGATCCACGCTGCAACGCGAATGAGTTTTATGTGATTCTCCATATTGTCTGTCTTGCTCATTGGCTTGTTCAGTCCCTGCAGGGCAGAGATTTTATTATTCACTCTCTCTACCCAGCACTTGGCTCCATACCTAGCATAGAGCAGTTCCTCCATCAATACACAAAAGAAGAAGATTCAGAGAGAGATGCAGAGACCAGAGATGGGAAACCACACAGCCCCAGGAGCCTCTGTTTCTGCCTGCTGGGTTCCAGCCCTGGAGAAGCTCAGCTGTCCGCTGTCCATGGAGGCACAAACGTGCCATTTAAATTCCTTTACTTAAGGTGGCATGAGGTCCTTTTTCTTCCTGGAGAGCTGGAACTTTGCTTTTTCCCTCTTCAAAAGACAGGCTGATGCGAGCCTCATGGGCCAGGTGTGGTGGCTCATGCCTGTAATCCCAGCACTTTGGGAGGCTAAAGCAGGAGGATCACTTGAGCCCAGGAGTTCAAGACCAGCCTGGGCAACACAGTGAGACATCCCCATCTCTACAAAAACTAAATAAACACAATTAGCCAGGTGTGGTGGTACACGCCTGTGGTCCCTGCTTCTTGGGAGACTGAGGTGGGAGGATCACTTGAGCCCAGGAAGTCAAGATTGCAGTGAGTCAAGACCTCGCCACTATATTCCAACCTGAGCAACAGAGTGAGACCCTATCTCAAAAAACAAAAAAACAAAACAAACAAAAAAACCCTCAAGGCCTTTCATTTAATAGCAAGGGTAATAACCAACACTTATAGAGTCTATCTGTAAAACATTCATATAAAGACCACTCATTTAATCTTCATGACCAGCCCCTGAGGGGGATATGGTGATAGCCTCCTCATTGTTCAGATGAGAATCTGGAGGCAGGTGTGGACTTAGCACAGAACTGCGAAGTAGCGAAGGTCAGATTTAAAACCTGGGTAGTCCAGCTCCAAAGTCCATTGCCGAACCATTATACTGATTGCAATGCCCTGCCCCAAGTGTGGCATAAAAGTGTTTGTAGAATAGACATAAGAGACATGGAGTAGCTGAATGTTAGGGGAAGGCTTGCTCCCCATTCCCCTTTTCCTCCTTGAGTCTGCCTCTTTGCTGGCTGGGCCCTAGGAGAGGTGGAATGACTCACTGGATTAATACATTTGGGAAGAACTATATAATGAAAAATAAATATTATAAATCTAATATAAACTATATTCATATTAATAAAATATTTAATATATTATAAATATAATATATAGCTTATAAAAATATATATCACTGTTAAATTTATTTATTTATTTTATTTATTTATTTAATTTTTTTGAGACGTAGTCTCGCTCTGTCACCAGGCTGGAGTGCAGTGGCATGATCTCAGCTCACTGCAACCCCCGTCTCCCAGGTTCAAGCAATTCTCCTGCCTCAGCCTCCCGAGTAGCTGTGATTACAGGTGCCCGCCACCATGCCCAGCTAATTTTTGTAATTTTTAGTAGAAATGGGGTTTCATCGTGTTGGCCAGGATGGTCTCATTCTCTTGACCTCGTGATCTGCCTCCCTCGGCCTCCCAAAGTGCTGGGATTACAGGCGTGAGTCACTGCGCCCGGCCATTAAATTTATACATAAAACATGAATATATAACATATTTATATTAATGCCTTTCCTCTTAGGCATTGAGCTTCCTGCAGACAGCATCTATTCTGCATTACTCCACCCTAGGCCAGCCCCTGCCTGGGGCCAGCGTGACTGTGACCAGGTGGGAGAGTCCACCCCACTCTGACTTTAGGCAGGCCCGTTTGGCTCTCAGACTAAGCTAAGGTCTTCACTTAGCCTGTATCAGAAATGAAAACGTAGGCCAGGCAAAGGCATGAGGATTGCTTGAGCTTAGGAGTTTGAGACCAGCCAGGGCAACATACTGAGACCCCTGCCTCAGGAAGGAAAGAAAAGAAAGAAAGAGGGATGGGAAGGGAAGGGAAGGGAAGAGAAGGGAAAGGAATGGAAGGGAAGGGAAGGGAAGGGAA